TGAGCGTTTTGCACAGTCCTAAATTGTTTATAATTAACTCGCTTATATATCAACTCCAATGAAAAAATATTGTTCACATGCTTGATTTTTTACTCAATCAAGAAGGATGTTTTACATAATGTATGCATTGGCTCCTGTGTGCGAAGTGTGTGCGTTTGTTCCATTGATATGGCAAGAACTAATTATCAGATTTCAATGAAACTTGGTACATACATGATCTGGGATAATGCTCAGATCCGAGTAGTTTTGGGTTGAAATCCAGGCTTATTAATTAGCTAATTTAAGCATTTTCACTTGTTTCTCATGTACCATTCAAATATGCTCTGGGATAATACTAAGACCTCAGAAGTTTTGGGTTAAAATCCGTACATATTAAGTACCTAAAATGCATATTACTTAGTGAATGTAAGGTTTTTCATTAGTTTCTCATGTATTTAACATATTTCAATAAAACTTTGTACAGTCATGCTCTGGGATAATTCACAGACTTGAATAGTTTTGGTTGCATCCTTGAATATTAATTATCTAATTTGCATATTCATTGACCAATACCAAGGGCCATTTAACAGATTTCATGAAACTTGGTACATAGGGGCTCTGGGATAATGCATAGACCCGAGGTCTGACTTTTATCACATTAAATTTGAGATCTATGGAGAATTCTGCCGATAAATACAACTTGTATGTGCTGTGAAATACCCTAAATATCGGGTATAAAACGGGCTGTGAAGCAGACGACAAACGTCCTATTTTTACTGTCGTCATTTTGCCTTTTGGGGGTGCTGGTGATGACGTCGCTAATGGACATCATGTCTCAGCCATATCGCTATTGTATACACGTACCTATACTATTCTGGTTTCTACATACGTTGAATACCTGTTAACAATTCGAATATATTTGGAATGTCGATCGTCGTTGGTTTCTCCATGCTGAGTTTGAATTGAATTGAATGTATTCACTTAATTTACAGGATATATTGATAAAAGAATACAATACAAACTGAAATACATCGTGAACAGGAAGCTGGAAAATAGTGTAAAACACTAGTCGAATCCACCCCCTTTTCTAGGTGAAATACAAACTACAATAATAAGTGGACGCTAAAAAAAAATTACATACAACTCAATTATGCATAATGTAAAAATCTTTTCATTTCTTTTTTGAATGAATTTTTTGAGCTCATGGAACGAATTTCTTCTGGAAGTTTATTCCAGAGTTTAGCCCCAGCATATTTGATTGAATGTTGTCCCGAATTAGTATGGTATTTTGGAATAATAAGATTACCTAATGCTTTTGATTTTGTGTGATAAGAGTGTTGGATGGAAGAGAAATATTGAGGAAACCCTGGTGGTAACTTGCCATTGAGATTACCATGAACAAACAAAGACATTTGCAAATCATGTTGTTTATAGATATCTAGTACATGGAGCTGATTAAAAAGTGAAGAAGTGTGTGAGTGGCGATCTGATCCTGTTATTATGCGTACAATTCTTTTCTGTGTGAGATGTATGGGTTTCAGGTAAGTTGAGTACGTGTTCCCCCAAACTTCTAGTGCATAGGAAATATGTGGCAGGATGAAACAGTTATATAATAGTAAAAGAATAGATGGTGGAATAATGTCCCTCAACTTGAAAAGAATATCTGTTTTACTACTTATTGTTTTGTTTACTTTCTGTATATGGTTCTTCCAGTCAAGGTTATTGTCCAATTCAACACCAATGTACCTAGTTGTTTCAACTTCATCCCTTT